TTGCATATGTACGAATAACTAACGAAATAATATCTATTTCAGGCGAATTAAATAAACAATATTAAATTTTATAGGAGAATTATAACCAATGAGAAACGATAATTATTACGAAGAATATTATTTCGTATACGATACCTGTTTTCTTGTTGGAGTGCTAGCTGAATTAAAATCTTGCTACCTTATTGACTGCGGTGCAAACAGTGCCAGCATCGCAACTAATATGGTGGTAAGAATTTAATGCAGCTAGCAATCCAACAAGAAAACAAGCATGATCGTGTGTCGCAGGCTTTAAAAAGATTAATACTCGTTAGAAACGAAATTATATTTGTTGTTTTTAATTTTATATCGTAACGTTATTTCAGTTTGATATAATTTTTTCTATTTATAGCAATTATGATGAATAAGTATATTATTTTCACAGAGAAAACAGTTTGGATGTTTTAATTATTTTATAATATTGATGTGGTTAATATAAAAATATTAAATATACTAATTATTCATGTGTGTATGTGTGTGTGCTGGATTGTAGTACTAATTTACATTTATGCAATATATTCTATTTATTTTATCAAAATTTGCTTTCCATTTAATGACACAAGCCGATAGAAATGTTCTACCTTTCTTTGCATTTCATATGTAACAATAGGAACAGGACGATACTTGTATCGACTGTATTTCAGCCATCAAATGGAAAGCACTCTTTATTATCATATTTTAACCATACCTTATAACACATTGAGATAATATATATTCACATGGTAAAAGGATGTACATTATTTTGATATTGTAGTAATAACAATATATAAAATATCTATTTGCAAACGGAATAAGAAACAAGAGTACTTTATTCTATCAGTATAATTAGTTAAAAGAGGGAAGAGACCTAGAAAAAAGATACGAGTGATGCAAAAAAAAAAAAGAATAAATTTAAGAATGGAAGATGCAAGACAGAAACAAAAAGAAATAGGAAATAAGACGAAAAAAAATTGAAAGTGGGGAACAATAGAGAAACAATAAGGAAAAAGGGGAAAAAAGACAAAAGATTGAAATAGAAAAAAAGGATAAAAAAACTCAACGAAATAAACAGACAAAAAGAGACAAATTAAGAAGGAAACAGAAAGAAAATGAAAACAGAGAGAGAGAGAGAGAGAGAGAGAGAGAGAGAGAGAGAGAGAGAGAGAGAGAAAAAAGGAAAGAGGAAATAGGACGAGTTTGGGAAAGGATCAAGAATGGGAGACAGAGAGAGGGTAAAATATTGTAAACACAGTTATGCATTGTCTTTCTTTTTAAATAAATTGCATATTATGATGTAAAAAAATGATGTCATAGCCAAAACTTAGCACAATGTATTATTTCTATTAAAACCAATTAATTATCTTCATTCCCAAGTTAATTTGCTTATTTAGATAATCGTTATTTTCTGTTCCATTATACTAAAAACTACATTATTATAAATTCTTTCTTAATGTATATGAACAAGGGATGTAAAACTTCAATAAACAAGTACGTGTGAATAAACAAGTAGGTATGTGTGCACCGTTCTTGCCGCGTAAAAGGGATTTTCAATTAAATATTATCTATTACGCATGTGTGTATATATATATATATATATATACACATATACATACAAATAATAATACTTCTTAATAGTACAATGTGGCAGAAAATTAAATAAATAAAAAATATTTATATAACTCTATTCGTAGGTAAATAATCTCGTCATTTTTAGATATTTTATATATAATTTTACGTATGTATATTACATTTTCTGTATATTATTACATCTTCTATATACGTAACCATTTATATACGTACATGTGTGTGTGCGTGTGTGTACATGTGTATGATATGCGTGCGCGCTGTGTGTGTGTGTATATACTTAAACTATAATTGGGCAAAAACGGTACACTAGTCAGATTAAGAAGTGTGAATATTACTATTTAACTAGTAGAGTTTTATATAGTAATTTTTCATTATATTCCATTTTATGTTAATGTGCATTATATTAATACACGAAAATGTAAATAATGAGCGATTAAATTTTTCTTAATGCATTATTCATATTCACATTAGGAACTGACAAATCCTTGAAAAATTATATAAAAAAGATACATTATACAAGAAATTGGAGCATATTGTGTTCCTGTACATTCTTTACAAATGTGTATCATCTTGATGTACAGATTCTCTCGAATGTACATTATATGAATCAGCCTTACATATTAATACAGAATAATTTACGTGTTTAATGCATAACAAAGATACTAGGAATTATAATCACGGTGTGTAACCACGAAAAGCAAGTTTTTTTGTTGTAAATTATTAGGATAAGGGCTATCGGCTATCGCACGTACGTTGCCGTAGCACCTTACGTCACCTTATGTCAGAGCTTTGCCTTGCGTCAACTCATAGCCAACATAAAACATAACGCACAAAGAACATAGCATAAGAAATGAGTTACGTCTTCTTATGCTATCGTCCTTCTTTGTGCGTTACATACGTAACGTTTTATGTCGATCATGACTACGTTCACATAGCACCTTAATTAGGTTTAATAACATAACATCCATATTGATACAAAACTAGCCAATTATAGCTATTCTTCTAAAAAAATGGAATGACTGTAATTAGCAGTTTTATAACTACAGATGCTCAATTAAAAGTGTCATGTAAATGTAGTCTATATGTTGATATAAGGCACTACGATGATGTATGTGTAGTGACCCTAAGATTGATCTGCGCATAGGGCTCGAGTTTACAAATGTACACATATATTTATATTTTAAATTAGTATGTTGTTCATATGAATATATGCAGGATGTCCCATGTTAATTTTCACAATATTTCAAAATGTCAAAAAAAAAAATAAAAAATAATTTATAAAATTATTAAGGAAAGTTTATCAAAAAATTAATAATTTTTGAGATATTTTATATATTTTATGTCAAAATGTATAAGTATAAAGTATAAACCAATGAGAACACGTAATGGTCAAGCTGGATCTTGGATACTTCTATATAATTGCTTATGAATTTATACACTAAATATGTAGATTTTTAATTGCCGAATTTTTTTTCAGAATTGAAACACAAACTCTAAACTATAAAGTATAAAATATCTCGTAAAGCTATTGATTTTTCGATATCTCTAACTTAATATTTTTATATGCTAAGAGGAATTATATTATGTAAAAGAAATCATACAATTCTATTTAAAATGATAGCTGTAATCGTCATAAGACCACGAAAAATTGATTTTTTCGACAATTCATTTTCCTATTTTTGTATCTCGTCAAACCATATAACTATTGTCTGAGACATTTTTTTCTATTTTTTGAAATATTTCGATATGAAAGTTAAAATGCGACATCACGTATGTATACTATATATATTCCTTTTCAAGATGTTGAAATATCCTGAGTTAAATGACTCTCCCTATGTGTGTGTGTGTGTGTGTGTGTGTGTGTGTGTGTGTGTGTGTGTTTTACAGAAAAATATTCCAAACAAAAGTTGTATCGTTTAAAAGATAAATAATGGTGAAATTAAATTTTGAGAAAATTGATTTCTCTAAAATCATATAATAATATCATCGTGATTTTTTCAAACGAAATTATATTCTTTACATATATGTTCCTTTAATTATTCTGCATATAAAAGTATTAACGTAAAGTTATAAACAATTTATATATAAACTTATATATATATATATATAAAATTTATATATAATATAACTTTACGTTAATACTTTTATATGCAGAATAATTAAAGGAATCATGTTTAAAAATATATAATTTTATTTTCAAAAGTGATGATAACTATTATATATGGTATTGAAAAATCGTTTGGAAATGAATTTTACCATTATTTTTTCTTTTCAAACGATACAACTTTTTATGTGAAATATTTTTCTCTAAAATATATTTTTTTAAGAGGTATTTTAGTGGCTCAAATTAAATCATTCACTGCTCGTGCGCGCGCGCGTATGCTTTTGTGTGTGTGTGTGTGTGTGTGTGTGTGTGTATACGTATATCAATGTGTAGGCATTGTGACAAGTTTGAGGCGTTCGTAAATTTGTTTGTGGTAACTGGTATAGTAACATTTACCGCAACCTGCTTCCATTCATATCCATTTTTCTATTAGAAATTATTAAAAAACGAAAACATCATATAACAAAAATATATATGGTGAACGAATTTATTTTACGTTACACTTCTAGATTAATCTTTATATTCTATTTTCGTTGAAAAATAACGGCGGTAGTATCGCTGGATGTACAAAGCAGGTATTCACAGAGCGCAAAGAGTGTACTTGGCTATAACAAACATTTTATTCAACTATTGTTGCATCAGATATAAATGAACATTTTTATTATTGTTAAAAGTATCAAATTAATTGGTTTAAGGTATGTATACAAGTGTGATATATGTGTGTATGTGTGTGTTCCGTCGTTGCGTATGAATGTCATGTATGTGAATGCAAATAAGAGTGGTTTAAATTCTCTTCATAGTCATTGCGCGTATTATGTAAACACGAGTAATAATCTTTCAAATAAAAATGTATCTAGCTGCATCTTTATGTATCTATAGATTTGCCAAAAACATAATAACGGTAACATTGAAAAAAAAGTAGAAATAGGAAAATGCATCGCAAATTGTAAAACGGAAGTAATGCACTACTTTCGGTATCGCATGCACCGGCCAATATGGTCGGAGCATATATGTTCATGCGATAAATTTTATGCCAGAATCCTAATCTCCCTCATAATTCTCTAAGTACATCGCAAATTTTGAATAGTTATATACTTTTGAAGGAAACATAATAAAATAAGATGGTTCAGTTTTAGATGATAGGATTAATGAAGCCGTTGCTACAAACCAGAATGATTTTCGTGCAGAGAAGAATATACTTGGCAATATGAAATATTTGCTGTTGTATTGTTATATTCTGTAGTAGATTGGGATTCAGTTGACAATTGCTGAATTTATAAGAATTGAGGCAGTTCTTCTGAGAGGGTCAAACACCCACTTCCAATTTCTTCCATGCTTTCCAATCCGTTTGTCCCATGAATCGGTACGCTGCTCATTGTTACGCCACGATGATCTGTAATAACTTGTTAGTTAAAAAATCTTGACACGAGATTTTTTACTATATATGTATATATATATATATATGAATGTTACATAATTTATGCATGAGTACATTATATCTTACTTCACTTAATCTCAAGAAAATATGAGTAAATTGTTCGATTTCAAAAGTATCCGTTTATATAAGATACGTCACACTATTTGGATAATTTTGAACACCTATTCCATTATTACTGCGTTATTAATTATGCAATTTATAATATACAATTACATATCTTTCTTGAAAAGCAATTTTTTTTTTTGTAGATTCATTTGATTATTCTGTGCTATGCATAAAAGTATTAAGGTAAGTTATAAAAATGAGTCTTGTTTACGAAATATTTTATGTCAAAATATAGTAAAATAAAATATAAAATATCTCGTAAAATATTTCTTTTTCAAGCATTTTAACCTACTTTTATACGCAAAATGCTCAAAACAATCTTTTATTTAAAAATCGTGCAATTGCATTTTTCTATTTGCATTTCATAAAAAAAATAAGTCAATAGAAATATAGATACATATAGTATTAATGATGATTTCCTATAATGTAGATTGATTAGTCTAATATTTTCAAAAAATAATTAAGATTATTTTTTATTCATTAAAAGCAATGATAAACGCGATAACAAACAGGGGTTTGAAGATTTATACAGATACAGAATACGCCATTGTAACATTATATTATTGTTTAAATATCACTGTATTACATATAGGATGTCCCCGTATAAGTGGCTACCCTTTATCTTGTAATCTTACTGAGATAGATCTAATAAATATAATGCCAAATTAAATGGTTTTATATATACATATATGTATTTTATACACACACACACACACAGGATACCTTAGAATCTTTAGGATGATGCTCGTGTGCAGATAAAGAGTATTAAACTGAGTCAAAAAGTTCTGTACAATTTTGCAATTTTCGTAATAATTAAAGAAATATTGATTTTTAAACAATACAAAGTGTTTTCTATAAGATCATTACATGACTACATAAACGCGTATGTGTAGCGACTATTGTCGCTTGTAGTAAACAATTGTCCACGTGCTTAACGATCAGATAGATGTACATTTGGTGGTGTAGCCAGATAAAATACTGGTTTATTCAGCAATCATTAGAAATTAATAATTGACATCTCATTATTTATTGCGAAAATCTCAAAATTTATTTTGGATTTTTCAACTCAGTATAGCCTGCTCTATCTGCACATGAAAATTGTTCTAAATATTTTGGAACTCCTCGCATGTATAAACGTACAGGGTATTCCACCTAACGTGATCAACCGTTTTTATAGAATAAGCTCTAAAAATATGTTCAGATAAATGGATAATTTGACAGAGCATAAATAATAGTAAATATTAAAGAAAAACGCATACAATTCTATTTGAAAAAATGATCATGATCTTTAAACATAAAAATGAATATAAAAAATCGGTTTTTTTGAAAAATTAATTTTACTATTGTTTGTGTTCTGTCAAATCATAAAAATTTTGTCTGAATATATTTTTTATTCAACCTTGCTCTACAAAAATATTAGGAGTGGTCATGTCTTGTGTGCGTATGTATGCATGCACGCGCATATTTTATTATTCAATGTCACATATCTGGTAATTGGCGTATAAAATTAGTTAATACAACAAATAAACAATATGTGTATATATAATCAATATTTTCTATTTGTAATGTATTTACAGCTTACATTTCTTTTATCTTACTTAAATACAGATTATATTTCAAAGTAAAGTGCAAATAACATTCGTGATTATATCCCTGCACATAGTATCAGGCATAAAAATTTATATATATATATATATATATATATATACACACGAATGTATTTGTTTTATTTTGCTTGTTATATTATTAAATCTAATAATAATGATAGATATAAAATATTGAGCGTAACATTTTTGAAAAAACGATACATTGAGAGCGCATATCTCGATGAAATAAGAAAAACATATTTTACAATATTAAATTTGTAGTGTATAAGTTAATTATATTATAATTATATCAATTAATATAGAGGTAGATTAAGGTGGTGACATTACCTGGGTCGCTACTCACCTACAGGCACTGAGCCTGCCATGGGAGTAGGTGACGATGACACCATCAAACGACCCTGTTCTTTTACTATAGGATCTAAAATAGAAGAAAATATATAATTAAACAAATGCATGCTTAAAAACAGAATATTTTTGATACACAATATTTCATTGAACAAAATATAAATGTATCATACAAGCCTATTATAGTAACTTTAATTTTCTTTTTCTATTTTGAAACCTATTTGAAACCTTGTAAGACAATACAAAAACAAATACTAAAAAATATTTGAATAATGTATCAAGTCGATATATACTTACAAAAATAAGGATGTTCCATTGCTTCACGTGCAGTTAATCTTTCATAATGATCATAGCGTAAGAGTTTGTCAAGAAAATCCAAACTATCTGGGGACACTAAATGTTGATTCTCCGAATGTACAAAACGTTCCCAACGTTTACGCGAATGTCGGCCTAGTATGTCGTTAAAACGAGGATCTAATTCAATATGATACTTGTCAAGATATTCGAATAGCTCTTCAGTTCCAAGAACTTTTGCAATTCGAACTAGTTGATCATAATTATCATGTCCATGAAAAAACGGTTCTTTCCTGAATATCATGCTCGCTAGCATGCAACCCAATGACCACATATCTAATGAATAATCGTACATCTGTAAAACATCAAAATATTATTCAAGATTAACTTACATAAATAAGATTTAAATATTTTTTAATAATAGACTTTTATAAAGATAATTAAAATCTAGAATCAGGTAGATATATTACCTCTCTATTTGTTTTTCATCTTTTTTTCGTCCTTCTAATCTCTTTGCCTGTTAGATTTTAATATTGCAAAATACTTACTTGATAATCTACAAGTAATTCCGGGCCTTTAAAATAGCGGGAAGCTACTCGTACATTATATTCTTGACCAGGATGATAAAACTCTGCTAGTCCCCAGTCAATCAATCGTAATTTTCGATTTTCATGGTCTATCATAACATTGTGCGGTTTCACATCTCTGTGCATAATTCCCATACTGTGACAATAATCTAGCGCCTGTTCAGGAATATAAAACAGAAATAATTATATTACATTTTTATTTGTATTTAATTAGATAGTACATTGTCGTAGTGTTTCAATATGTCCTTCGTAACAAATAATTCAAAAGTCCAAAATTCAAAAATATTGTTGAAATTTTATAACTTGTTGATGCACTTATCAGAAGAACAAAAATAATTTTTCACATGTGTTTTTAAGTAAAATGTCAAATGCATTTTTAAAATAAAACGTTTTATGATTTTTTAAATTATAATTAAAAAAGAGTAAAAAAAAATAGAACAATTAAAATTATTCACAAAAATGTAAATTCATATATAAATATAATTTTCAGTTATTAATACTTAAAATACTCTGATAAAGTAAAAAAATGTATAATTAATATCAAATAAACTGCAAATGAGGAAGAATAAAGTAAAATCGTAGAAAAGCCATAGACTAATCACAATCTATAAACAAATGACTTCTTTAAATTGTTTAAAAAATAGAATATGTAAATAATTTTAACTTTCATCCAAAATATCTTGTATGGATATAAGAATGCTGCAAAAAGCAAAATTGAAGTAATGACTGTCACATCCTTGATTTTAATGAGAAAAATAAAAATATAATAATTCAACTTTTTAACTCTTTTTCAGACTGATGTGATATACACCTATATCTATCAACAAACAATAATCTTGATGTTCACCATCAACCGATATTTAGTTCCATTGCACTTAACAATACACGCACTTTTAATAATTCATAGAGGTAGTATCTTATGTCGTAGTCAGTTAACGTCTGATATAATTGCTTGAAATCTGTGTTGTTGACATGTTCGAAAATCAATGCCGGTGTCCTTGAAACTGGATCTTTAACAACTGCTTGGAGTGTAATTATGTTGGTCCCACCTTTAAGATTTTCTAAAATTTTTATTTCCCTTTTTATTTTCTTCTTTTTAACAGGCTGTAACAAATAAAAAATTATTACTTTCAGCTTTTAGTTTATATCAAATATTTATACATAACATGATATATAACATGACTATGAATACAGTCAGTCTTATATAAATGCTTTGAAACATTTAATTGATTAATTAGAAGAATTTACAAATTAATTAATTAAAGAATGCTTTAAAGTGTTTGTAGCATTATATTGACCATACTCTATCATACCTTCAATATTTTTACAACACAATTTTCATTGTTTGTAACATTTATGGCCTCGAATACTTCACTATATTTACCCCTGCCTAATTTTCTTACTAACTGATAATCATCTTGTTGCCTAAAAAAATATATATAAAGTAAATAAAATAATATATTATAATAGTGGTAATATCATTGACATGTTGTGATAAATCTTACCCCCAATCGACAACATAAGATTCATAGTCCCAGTATTCTCTTGGTTTATGTGAATTTACATCAGCGTAGACACGTGCTCTACTTGGTAAAGCCATTCTTAGAGAAGTATTATTATCGATAAGCGTCTTGTTGAATGGTATACTATCTCGACTGTCTATTCCAAACTTAGAGCTATTAGCGACTTTAACTTTCTTGCTTATCCAGCTACGTGCATGTGAGAACAGTAATGAACCTAAGCAATTTACACAATTTTGTTGAATGTTTACATAAATAAAAAAATATGAAAAATAATTTAAAAAAGAAATCAATTAAATTGCTACAATAAATAAATAATTGTGAATTCAATTGTATGGATTACAATGCACTGATGCATATAAAAGCTGCTGTATATTGATTCAATCTAAGTATAAAACTGAAATTCAAATATTATAAATTATAAAATATACATTTTGTCTAACAACACAATAAAGTATATTAAAAATTTCGCAACTTAATCTATTTTTATATTTATACTAAATGTACATTTTTACATTGATATATGTACAGCAGCTTTAATACATGTCATATGCTCAATGACAAGGAGGGACAATGCTCTAATCTTCACTGATTTTGATAAAACTTGAAGCAATGTTAGAGATGAATATAAAATCAACAATCTGTAAAGCTATTTTGAATGGATCTTAGAAACCAAGTATATAATGAGTTGAATATAGATACTCCCTGTATGCTTATTAGTATATACTATTATTATAGAAAGAGACATATTAACAAGCTGCTGTTGATTAGAAGTTAGCATACTAAACTGTGGTGTCACAGAATACTGGTTTCAAGCGATCAATGATAAATGAAAAGAATAGCCAATAAGGCCATTTTTGTGTCCCCTTCGATTTCCATTAAACCATTTTTTTGTATTGTGTAATCATTAGAAGGATTAAAAATGACCATTAGGTAAGAAAAAACTTGAGCCATAAAGCCATAATTAATTATTAGTATGAAACGGCTTCTTTAAGATCCATATTTAAAGAAACAGTTCTATAATCATTGGTTTCTAGTTGTCTGTTAACATCACTGCAAGTTTAATCAAAATTGATAAACATAGCCTCTCCTTGTGAGTATATCTAATTTGCAATGACAATAAGAAATTAGCAAGTTTTATATATAGTGTAAATATGTCGATGTCTTAAAAGAGAATAATACAGAAGCCTAAAAAAAAAATATAAATTTATACATCCTCTCTTTCTTTCTCCCACTTTCTTATTATTATTTTTACAATTTATTACCAATGTACATATAATTTATTTTAAAAATATTAAACAGATTTAAAATCTCGAGATACAAATGCAAATTTGCTATGATTAAAAACAGTGCCAAAAATTTCATAAAAATTGTATTTTGAACTGACAAAAGATAAAGATGAGTGTGATAAAATTATGCAGACAGAAATATGATCTAAGTTTTTATCAATTACAATTAAGTAGAGGAAGTATTATATTTTCGTTTATCAGTTATAACGTTAGAATTTGGATATATTTAAAAATATATTTTTGAGTTTCTTTTCGGAGGCCCAAAAAATCGTGTCGAAATAAAATTAATTTTCTAACTGATTCGAGGAGTTATGAGAGGAACATACTACTGATCAACGGAAGAAAAGTACGCAAAAGCATGTAAGAGGCACAAGGCACGTATACACATGTACTCAATAAATCACACGCCATCATGATCAAGGAATAGATGTAGACCCATTTAGGAGACTCACCTAAACCATTCCGAGCCTGAATATTGATTGAATTCAACACGACGGATTCCTGGATTCGTTGCGAGTGTACAAAAATCACTCACGAAGTTGCTAAGGCCGCGCGAACGCGTGAAACTCTAGATTTTTTAGGGCGGCCGGCTTCTCAAACGAGCGAGGTGCAAGATGGCAGCCGGCAACCCGCCACAGACTTCGAAAGTCTAGACCGGAAACCCTTCGTGCTGTGTCAACAAAAGCTGCGTATTATGGCGGCCTAAAGTCTGTGTCCACGATGTTACAAATCGGTCCGAGATCTCGGAGAGAAAATGCAGACTCAACAGTTTTACAACTGTTTTATGATTCTTCACTCAGATAGGACTATTCCTTTGGATTTAAAAGTATAATCCAATCAGCGAGACGAATTATAAAACGGTCGCAAAACTTTTAGTCCAGATCTACAAAAAAAAACTTAAGGCTGGAGTCACATTGAGCGGTAATTACAGCGGAACGGAATAGTGAAACCAATCAGAACTCTACAATCATTCCGCTGCTTTACTTTCTGCGATTGTGATTGGTCTCGCTGTTCCGTTCCGCTGTAATTACCGCTCAATGTGACTCCAACCTAAGGAAAAAATTTAAGGCAGTAATAGCTCCAGCACACTGGACGCGGAAACGCTTGCCGCGCGGCAAAATGTGACACGGTAGCCAATGAACATGCTAAGCCCATGGCACATACAAAAACGTAAGGTCGTAAAACGTAATCAGTAAGCGAATTGGCCAATCACAGTAGAGACCGTAAGGCCGGTAGCGAATCCAATGTTACGATTTCCTTACTGATTACCACTGATTACGTCTTATGGGCCTTCTACAATAAGCCGTAAGTCACAAATCATAAGTCATCAGCTAGAAATGGACCAATCACAGTCGTCAATTTTTAGTTTCTTACTTCCGATTTATGACTTATGGCTTATTGTAGAAGGCCCATTATGGACCTTCTACAATAAGCAGCCATGCTTAAGTTTTAAGTGTTAAATCATAAGAAATTTACCAATCACAATCGAATGTAAGAAGAATAATCGACTGTGAGTGGTCAATTTCTTATGACTTAATACTTAAAACAGGTAATGGCTTATTGTAGAAGGCCTATTACGGCCTTACGTTTTTCTATGTGTTTCTGGCTTTATCCCATCGATCTTCCAGCGTCCCAACACCACCCAACACTTGTGATTGGATAGTATCGTTGACTGTTGACAGTGTGGTGTGGTGGTGTAGACTGTAGACTTTCATCTTGTCGATTTGTGAGTGAAGAGTTTTGCACAGTTAAAGAATAAACATTTTAGCTTGTCAGACGTTGTAAATTTCACGGTATGCTTTTTGATAGATTGAAATTTCCATTCTCTGTTTCCTGTTCCCTATTCCTTCGATTGCGCGCAGTCGTTGAAAATTAGCATTGACCTATTTATGATCGAAAGAATGATCAATTTTGGTAGTGGCAAATAAAAACATTAAACTGTATATTTTTCACTGTGTTGCAGTATATATATATATATATATATTTCGCAAACAAAAGTATAACTGAGAAAGAAAATCACAAATTAGCAAACAAAAGTATAACTGAGAAAGAAAATCACAAATTGTTATAACAAAAATATGGCTACGATGGGCGAGCCTCTCACTTTAGCAAGAGGTAAATTTTTATTAATTGTTTTATAAGTTGACACACATGCTATTATGACGTATAGATGACATTCAATGATTATTTTAATAATTATACTGAAATTATATGAAACTTCATCCTTTGTAGATATCAAAAGGTCTATAGAATTATTAGATAAACTACAGAAAGGTAAACAATTAGAAGATAAAACATTTTATATATTTTCACAATTATCTAACTTTATAATATTAATTTTCTTTAGGAGGAGAGGTTCCTACAACAAAATTAGCAGCATTACAGAAGGTATTACAAAGTGATTTTCTTAGTGCAGTACGGGAAGTATATGAGCATGTTTACGAGACTGTTGATATCCAGGTAAGAATATAAGCAATAGATAACTAATTTTTAATATTTATTATTAATAATTACATTACAATTAATAACTTATTCACAATTGTAAAGGGATCACAGGATGTACGTGCATCTGCAACAGCAAAAGCAACTGTTGCCGCTTTTGCAGCCAGTGAAGGTCATGCACATCCACGTGTAGTCGAACTACCTAAAACAGAAGAAGGACTTGGTTTTAACGTAATGGGAGGTAAAGAACAGAATTCGCCGATTTATATATCTCGCATTATTCCTGGTGGTGTTGCTGATAGACACGGTGGTTTAAAACGTGGAGATCAGCTTTTATCTGTTAATGGAGTGGTTGGTAAAAATGTTATCATTTTTATTTATTAAAAAACACATTTTTAGATAATAAAATAATTTGTTTTAGTGCGTCGAAGGTGAAAATCATGAAAAGGCAGTGGAATTATTAAAGCAAGCTCAAAATTCTGTAAAATTAGTAGTTCGTTACACTCCACGTGTTCTAGAAGAAATGGAATTACGTTTTGATAAACAGAGAGCTGCTCGTAGGCGTCAACATATGCAATAAATATAAGTGCAATATTTAATTCATTCAAAAAATGGAAGTTTATCGACTGTAGTCTATCAATACATCTAAATACATTTAAATTATTTATGCTTTATAGTTATAAATTTGACTAGTGTATAACTGAATTATATGCATATATTCATTCAATAAATATAACACCTATTGTCTATATACTTTTTCTCATCTTTTTGTATTATCTTTATATGATCAATGTTAAAGTATATGTATATTAAACATTTTAACTTGTTAAGTTTAACCTGATGTTTTATCCAATAAGCTTCATCTGATGATGTCGTAGATGAAACTCATTAGATAAAATATCAGGTTAAGCTTAATTATTATACATATTAACCAGATAATGAAAAATTAGGTCTTACTTTTTTTGTTTGGCTTTAAAGGTGATAAGAAGATGTGTGAAGTGAAAAATAGATAAATTGATATAAAGTCTGGAAGAAGTTTTAGTCAGACTAAATTAATGGATAAATGTTCTGTCTCTTTTTCGAGCATGAGAAGCCTATCACATCGTGTAACACAGGTCCTTGGTCGTATATAATAAATACCAGCAGAATTGACACATAATGAAGAATATTATATTATGAGATTTATATTATAGTTAATCTCTTTCATATAATGATGGTACGAATATTATATGTGAAATATATTTATCTCTCTGTGAAAATCGGATGTAGAGCGATTGTCGTAATGCACATATAACCTTACAAAAAACAATAATTTACCATTTTATTTAGTTTTATTAACATTTAACCAAGTTTACTTTTATGCAAACGACAATTGTATAAGTACACTTTGACACAGCATACAAACAATACTGCTAAATCAACAACTAATCAGGATTTAGCAAAGAGAGAAAGAACGCTCATCCATTTATCTACCTCTCACTCTACAGTGTTGTTCTACCCCCACCGCTGCCAACAGTGGTTACGTTCCAAACTTTACTGCCAGCGCTGAGAATCTACAGTTTACGTTACGTCTACTATACATTTTTAGCATGAGCAGTCAATATTAGAACACAGTCCTAAAAGAGTCTCTAATCGGAGTGGCGCCATAAGAAAAATACGAACATGCATCAGTGGGCAATTGCAATAGTGCGCGAGTTAATCATTTCCAATTTTAAATGAAATTATTATACAATATTAATTTTTTATTCGTTGTTTATATATTATTTGGATATATATATTATTTGGATTGAGTAAGGTAATAATTTTTATAGGGTTATAATTTAGCGTTTTTAATATCAAATCTTTTATGCAAGTGATACGTATCACTGAAATTAATGTAAAATTTTTATGGGATTTTATTTCGGCGTCAATTTAAATTAAAGGTATTATCACATAAATTATATTTTTTAATTTGGCATAATAGCTTTTTGTTTAAAATATAATAAGATGTATATGTATATATATATATATATATATCA